ATGTAACTTGACACTACACTTTGAACTAGGTTCTAACAACTAGCATAAAATACATCTATTTACATAAAAGGAAAAAAAATTTGAATGAAATATAAAATAAACCTGAGGTTTCGTCCTGAAAATAAACTTATCTCCAGTGGTTCTGAAAGTTTAACAGAGTTTCAGTGTGAGAAGGACCCCCATAGATTTATGCCACCAACCTGGCTAACAAAAAATAACTGCAGCAAAACTAAATTATATAGTTGTTTATTTCATATCTGCAAATAAGTTATTGAACTTCACCACAACTTGCTATAGTCACTTTTTCTGATGGTTTCCCACCTTTTGAGCCACATCTCTCCATTCTCTTGACTACATCCATTCCACTGATTACATGTCCAAATACTACATGTTTACCATCCAACCATTCAGTTTTTGCTGTACATATAAAAAACTGAGATCCATTTGTGTTTGGTCCAGAATTGGCCATAGAAAGTGTCCCCGGACTTACATGCTTCAACTGAAAATTTTCATCATCAAATTTTCTTCCGTATATTGACTTTCCACCAGTACCATTGTGATTTGTAAAATCACCACCCTGACACATAAAATCGGGAATAATTCGGTGGAAACTGCTTCCTTGGAAACCATAACCTTTTTCATGAGTGCACAAGCACCTGAAATTTTCAGCTGTTTTTGGAACGATGTCAGCGCGTAACATCATAGTTATTCTTCCTACTTCAGTTTTTCCAATTTTGATATCAAAATACACCTGAGGATTTTTCACCTTTTTAGTTTCCGGCTTAGCCGTGGGTTCTACTTCTGCCTCTTCTCTAGTGTCCAAGTCATCATCAACTTTTTTTCCAATAGTTTCACCTGCATGCTGCTGAAGCCACGTGTCTTCAGACCACACAGGCCTAGTAGAACCTTCTTTTATCCTTTGAGGTTTAGCTAAATTTACCCTTATAGTTCTTCCAAATAGTTCTGAATCGTTCATGTTGTCAATAGCAGCAGCTGCATCTTCAGCATTTTCAAATTCAATGAAAGAAAAACCCCTGTGCTTTTCAGATTCATAATCCAACGGAATTTGAATGTCAACAATATCACCAAATGGTATGAAGGCAGCATTCAAAACTTGTTCATTTACTTCTTCTGCCAAGCCTCCCACATATATAGTACGTTTGTTGCTTGAACTCATGTTTAATGTGTGGTCAATTAACCTTAATTCCTTATTCTTCTTGCAATTAAGAATATCAATGGTACTTCTTCATCCTCCTTTCCACCTTATCAAAGTCAAAATATTTTTTCATTCAAAATTCGCGAATTAACTGTCAAAGTGACACATTAATGAGGTTAGTTATTGTTTTACGTTCTAAGCGTTCTAAGACAAGTTAGGTTAGTTAGTGGTTACTGGGCTTCGTTTTTGGACATATATCCAGTTTCAAGTACCTTTTGATTTAAAGGAGAGAATGTACTTCGCTAGACACGTCTATCATTTTGAATAGTTTAAAGTTATTAGTAAGACATAACACAACACAACAACTGTTCTCGCACAGGGACTGCGGCTGGGCATTATACATCCCACAAATGTTGCCTGGGAAGATAGTAGAAAACCTAGGGGAAAAAGTATCTGTAATAATAATCCATCAGTGATACAATTTGATGGTTTGTTTAGAGGAAACATATTATTTTATTAATAGCTTTTCGAGTCGAATTTTGCAGTAATGGAATAAAGTTGGCACGATAACTTTTGCCATTTGAAAATATGAAAGTAATATTTGCAGAGTATAAAAAGAAAAAAATTCAAGATCCTTTGTAGGTACTGAAAAATACACGTCAAGAAGAGTACTTCGACCATGCCACTGAAGATAGCTGTTGCAGTTGAAACCTTTGAAGATTATAACCAAAGAAAACCATGGCAAAACCTGCAAGCCAATCAAAACATTGACACCAGTCGTGACATTCTCATATCATTTGGTGTTCCTCGATAGGATGGAGCATATTATCTATATTGTCCAGAAACTGATATGTAACGGAATTCTTATAATCAAACTCTAAAAATACTCTAAATAATAAACAAGTTCCTGAATTCATCGATGGTGGAATTATCTATTGGTCCATTCAAAACATAAGCACACTCCTATTGTTTGAAGCAAAATATCAAAAACCTTCTGCTGAATTTAAAAACTCGCCTGAATAAAATGTGACGTCATTGGATGAACACAGAGTTCCTTAAGATACCATCATGTCAGTCACACATACTCAATAAACAATTATGTGACCAGAGTCAATATTCTGTGTCAACTATTTTAATTTTGAGTCTATGGGCCATAGACATAAACGTTATATCTATGAATCTAAGACACAAACCACCTAGAGTAAGTAGTTTGTGATCTATGATTAAGGCAAAAATTTCAAACAATATTTTGATTCAGTTTTTACTTTTCATTATTACTGAATCAAAAAATAATGAACAGTTCTAAAAGTGTTAAAAAGGTGTTTTGAAACTGAAATAATGACTCAGTGAGAATAATTAATTTCAATAATTTTTAGTGGAAATCATTTGATTTTGGACCAGAGGCAAAGAAAAAATGTACCAACAAAATAGAAGTTAAAGAAAATCTGGAGTGTGAAGCCTTTGCCAAAATTCCAAAAAAAGGAAATACAAACCAGAAAGGATTTGATTTTCATAGGCAAATTGAACCTAGACATATAAGTGACTTGGCTGTCCATCCAAAAAAGATTCAAGAGGTTCATGAATGGATTACGTATAATGTAGTTACTAATCCTCAGCAAGACATGGTAATGTATGTATTTCTACCTAGCAAGACTGAAAATGGAAACAAAACTTCAACAATTGATTACATTGAAATAATTTATAGTTTTTTTGATGGATCTTATTCCTCAAATAACTGTGTAGAATGTAACGTTCACTAGTTTTACTACACAATAACAAATAGGAGATATGTACTCACTGAATAGTTTATTTATGTGAAAGTGTCAAGTCACGTTTCTTTAAAAATTAGTTATATTAAATTTTTGAAAATCCCTTGCAAAGATAATGCATGTTGTAGATGATAAAAGTATGTTACAATTTTATCACTTAATACCTTTATTTCTTGAGTAATTTGAATTCTACACTTCTACACGTATCGACAAGTGGATACCTATAGAAGTATATACGTATCCACAAGTGAATATATATACTTAGACCAATTTGGGTATTATAACAATAAAATAAATTTGTTGGGTGAAACTACCGCTTAGTTTGTTTTCTGTTGAAGCATGTTGGGGTTGAAAATTTATTTTAATTTTTTGTAAAAATGATGTTTTTTAGAATGTTGCACCATTTCTACTAATATCAGGACCAACTGGTTCAGGAAAAACTACTACTCTCAGTGTTGTCTGTAAAACTCTGGGTATTTCAATAGTAGAATGGATAAATCCAGTAGATCAAGAGTTTGAATACAGGGGAACCAGTCAAATTGATAACTTTTTGGACTTTCTGATAGAATCTAAGTGGAATTCCCTCTTTGAAAGTAGTACAAATAAAAGGATTACTTTGGTGAAAGATTTCCCAAATGCTGTCATTCATCGACCTGATCGATTTCTTGATATCTTAGAGTAAGCATTTATAATGTTAGTTAACCTTCAAAAATTGGAAATATTTTTCGAAATACCTCAGCTTATTTTCCTTTTACCTTTCAGGTCGTGTCAATACAAATCAAGACATCCTGTGATTTTTATCTGTACAGAATCAAGTAGCAACAACATAAATTTATTGAGGACATTATTCCCAGAAGAAGTTATCAGTAAATTCGACATAACACACATCAAGTATGTTGACCTTTCTTTACTTGCATATGTTTTCTTTAAAAAAAATAAGTGTTCACTATATTTTTCAAATCTTTTGAAAACATGTTTTTGTCACCAGAGCAAAAATGTTATCACTCTACACGTGTTTTGCTAACCAAATTAGCATCAGTTTTAGTCTATCATCTTAGCATCATCGGGAGATGATGCAAGAGAAATGGTTAGAGAAATACGCGTCGAGAAACAGCATTTTTTTCTGTTGAGGAAAAAGTGTTATCAATAGATTCATTTTAATCCAGCAGTTCAAAATACTATTTACCAAATAACACTTTCACCGAACAGTTTACATACAATATCACTTATAAAATAGTTTTTTTTTTACTTAATAGTTTACAAAGTCGCAACACATGTTTCGCTATACAATAGCATCTTCAGACGTCACAATACTGACTAAACAAATTCATGATAAATTCATTCAACTCTTCAGTTGAATGAGTTCTTAGAAATGTAAATATTTAAGGTAATGAATTTATCACGCAGAAATTTTTAGGTAGTAATAGGCAGTACTGAATACGTTATAATGGATTTTCATCAAGTATCGGTCAGATCTATCATATTTCTAAACTATATCGATAAATCTGTTAAAAAAAAATACATTGATATAATTAAATTACCTTTATTTTTGAATTTAATAACTTAAAATTATAGCAAGAATTTATTTTTATCAAATTTTGTTTTTAGTTTCAATCCATGTGCTCCTTCTTTAATGAAAATTGCAATTCAAAGAGCCCAAGCCTTACTTAGAGATAATCCCAAGTCTTTGAAACAACCATCTCAAAAAATTGTGGATGCGATTTTATCATCGACAGTTGGAGACATTAGAAATGCCATGATGCAGTTTCACATGGCTAGTTTATCAGGTAAAAACTTCATGATAACTGTTATTGAAAACTTTGGAAAAATGTAAAGTGTTGCTTACAAGTTCCAGTTCAATTTCGCAAAGGAAAAATGTCTACTATATGTCAGGTATCAGTTTCAACATCCTTCTTGTATGTACAACATGCTCTTTGAAACAAGTTTTCTTAACCCATATGAAAACACGAGGTTCTAACGCCAATAAAATTATCCCGTGGGATAATTTATATCTATATTTATAAATCTATATCTATATTTATAAATGCGAAAGTCACTCATTTCACAAACTACACCTACCGATTTGATCTTCATAAATCGTTAGGTGTAGTTTGTGAAATTACTATGGTTCTTTATCAACTGATGACTGAATCGATCAGATAGTCACTCACTTGACATTCATTTTTTCATATCTATTTCTCCGAATTGGTAAGTCCTGGAAAGCGAAAATTTGCTTTATAGGTGCTTCTTGAATCTTAGATGCGCACTAAGAAAAGATTCTCAAATATTCCAACTGAGGAGCCCCTTGTGAGGATAAAAGGCGCGCATCTACATACGATAATTACCTTTTCATCACTATATCTTCGTACTGCTATATTTTCAGAGAATGAAATTTTGTATGTAGGTTCGATTTATGTTTTAGATGTGCAATAAGAAAGGATTTTTAAATATTCCAACTGGGGAGCCCCCATGGGAATAAAATGGGCGCATTTACTTATGAAAATTACCTTTTCATCACTATATCTTCGTACTGCTATATTTTCAGAGGATGAAATTTTGTATGTAGGTTCGATTTATGTTTTAGAAGTGCAATAAGAAAGGATTTTTGAATATTCCAACTGGGGAGCCCCTGTGGGGGAAAAAGGAGCACGTTTTCATATGAAAATTACCTTTTCATCATGCGGGTAATGTCATTCACAAATAGAGTTCCGCTATTCACAATTGCTATCAAGTTAGCTCTACTTCAGCGGAAAGCAGACCTATTTTTGATTTACTCAACAACATGGCACCTTTTGCTCTTTAACATTTTCAAAAAATAAAAGTCCAACCTATCTGTTGTGAAAGCTTCCAATATTTTGTTCTATGTACTGGTAATTTATTTTTGACATTTCTTCTGTTTTTAGGATTGTAACTAATAGTAACGTGGAAGGAATATATCTTCGTACTGCTATATATTCAGAGGATGAAATTTTGTATGTAGGTTCGATTTATGTTGTAGATGTGCAATAAGAAAGGATTTTTATATATTCCAACCAGGAAGCCCCCGTGGGGTAAAAGGATCGCTTTTACATATGAAAATTACCTTTTCATCACTATATCTTCGTACTGCTATATTTTCAGAGGATGAAATTTTGTATGTAGGTTCGATTTATGTTGTAGATGTGCAATAAGAAAGGATTTTCAAATATTCCAACTGAGGAGCCCCCGTGGGGGAAAAAGGAGCGCATTTACCTATGAAAATTACCTTTTCATCACTATATCTTCCTACTGCTATATTTTCAGAAGATGAAATTTTGTATGTAGGTTCGATTTATGTTGTAGATGTGCAATAAGAAAGGATTTTTGAATATTCCAACTGGGGACCCCCCGTGGGGGAAAAAGTAGCGCATTTACCTATGAAAATTACCTTTTCATCACTATATCTTTGTACTGCTATATTTTCAGAGGCTGAAATTTTGTATGTAGGTTCATTTTATGAAAATTACCTTTTCATCGCTATATCTTTGTACTGTTATATTTTCAAAGGCTGAAATTTTGTATGTAGGTTCGTTTTATGTTGTAGATGTGCAGTAAGAAAGGAGGCGCGCGTTCACATATGAAAATTACCTTTTCATCACTCTTTCTCCTTTGATGCCTTAGGAAAATGTTCAACTGGACTTTAAATACAGATCAAGTTCTTTATTATCAAAAGATTGACTCTTGAAGATTTTTTACAATGGTGATTATTGTATTAATCTTTTGTTCGTTTTCTTGATCATTTTCATTTTGAAGTCAATTTTATTCATTGATAACAAATATTTGTTTCTGAAAATCATTTAATTTTTCGGACTCCTCGAGATTAGGCTTTTTCATTGAGTGTCTCTTCAAAATTAGCAGAAGAGTAATTTGTCATTGAGGTGTGTGTATTATTGTGAAAGTGGCCACACTGTATGGTACTCATTATAATAATTATTATTATATTTGTGTTATTTTTAAGGTACCGATGAACTTCCAACAGTCTTCACAAAAGCACAGGAGTCTATAGGTTCCAAAAGAAAACGAAGCAATAAGGATGTGAAACTAAAAACAATGTTCAGAGATGAAAGCCTTGGTTTATTTCATGGCTTGGGTAGAGTATTGAATCCGAAGAGAAAGGAAGTCGGTAAAAGCTGGAGACTTGAGCGAGATGTTGAAAAACTTGTGGACGAGTTTTCGACACAGCCACAAATGTTTCATTCGTTTCTGTTTGAGAATTACCTAAAGTATTTCGGCAATGTTGGTGAAGCTTCGAAAGCATCAGAAATATTGAGTATGTCAGCAAGATTTTTAGAAAACTGGATGGATAGAAACGAAACTCTTATGTTTGCCCTGTGGATTTCTGTTTTGGGGTTGATGGTGTTTAACGAACATAAAGTTTCAAAATGGACTCAAATCAAAGCGCCCACTAAATATACCAAAAAGTAAGATTATATACCTATTTAATACTGAAACTTAGTTTCATCATTTTCCTTTGTTTAATAGGGGCTTGATAATCAGATTTTGTTGCCCGCTGTCATGTGTTTTTGTAGGTCCATATCTCTCATTATGACTTTATTGAAACATAATTCAAAATTTAAAAAAACGACTTTCTGATATTCCTGGGAATTACCTGATTACTGAAAAAATACTTGCCGTTTTGTGTGAGACATAGCTTAAAATCTGCTAGCGGTTTCTGCTGCTCCCTATTTTTTTTGAAAAATGCTCAGCAAATGCTTCAGCTACTTCTAAGGGCTTCCCAATGGTTTTGGATTCAAGTTTCAGGTTGATGTTACTTTCAGCACAGTCAAACCAGTTTGACTTTTGTTTTCGAGTCATTTTCTTGAAAAAAAAAGGCAAAAAACGTCTCAGCCCCAAATCAGAATATTTTGTTTACGTTAAGTGATTTCCTAATTGAATCGAGTCTGTAATTACCGAATGTAAAATATAGTTATTGAATGAACATCTGTGATAACCTTTGAATAGTAATTCATTTCATAAATGTACATGAAATGTATTGAAATGATAAACTCCTTGGTAAATCTTCTGACCAGGAAAATAATTGTTTGAAAGTTCCCTGATAAATATACACTGCCGATAAGCAGCATTTTTGGCTAAAAACACCAAACATATTCATATTATGTATATAGAGGTTTTATTACTACATCTATATCGTTGTGTCTATGTTGTGGGTAATGTCATTCACAAATAGAGTTCCGCTATTCACAATTGCTATCAAGTTAGCTCTACTTCAGCGGAAAGCAGACATATTTTTGATTTACTCAACAACATGGTACCTTTTGCTCTTTAACATTTTCAAAAAATAAAAGTCCAACCTATCTGTTGTGAAAGCTTCCAATATTTTGTTTTATGTACTGGTATTTTATTTTTTATATTTCTTCTGTTTTTAGGATTGTAACAAATAGCAACACGGAAGGAATGAATCTAAATCCCACTGACTACTACTATTACAATTTGATTACCAAGTCAAATAAATTTCATGAATTTATAGCTAAGTGATTGTGTTTCCTTCTAAACCTGTATTCTCAATTATTTATATCAAATAAACTGTGATTCATATAGTTTCTTTCATTTTGATTCAATCGTCAATGAAGTTGTTTATATCAACATATATTTATATCTTCTTGAAAAGTATATCGAGAGTAGTTTTGTCATCATGTAATAAGAACACTATTTAAAACATATATTTTCATTTTGCTTTTTGGTGATTAAAGGTTATCGAGATGAATGTAGTTCATGGCATAGACACTGCAAAAAGATAATTCAAGTACAACATAAAATAAATTAAATAAATGGAATTGAGCTTATATACTACAGGAATAAAATCATTGCACTCTTCTGCTGGCTATATGTCCCAAGAATTGTAGGCAGTGTGTTGTAGATATCACCTAATTCAGAGTACAAGACCACGTGGTAAGAGCCAGTAGGTTCCGCCCGAGTTGCCGGGGACCATCAACCGCTCTTAGGATGAGATTCTCATCCAACGCGTTCAGTGCTGTAGTATCGCAGGGTTTGACGGTTCTACGAACACCGGATTAGTTATAAGGTTTGTTCTGGTTCTAACATCCGAAACTGTTTGGAAACAGCACAAGACATGATGCATACAAGCAAAAAATCTCAAACAATCCGAAATAGTCTCGGACACTTGTTTAAACCAGAACGCTTTTGAGGAGACCACTGTGCCACCTATCGTATATATGAAGAGATGACGAGAAAATACTATTGATCATGTCAATTTTGTTATGTAGTGTATCCTTATAGTCAGTTCAAATGTAATCTAACCTCAATCATCAATTATTCAAATCAAATAAATAAAAAAACATCCTAGCAAATAGCCCAAACAAATTTCCACATAAATGCGCATGAGCAACGGGAATAGTTCTCAACAGTTCAGCCTCGAGAGCAAGAACGATTCGGGACGGTTCAAAACAGTTTAGGATCATTTTGCAGTCGAGACCAGAACAGAGGATTCATCAGTCCGAAATTACCGTCAATAAACCAGAACGCTCTATGTCAACTGCGCATGATCCTGACGTCCTAGAATCTGAATTTCGTAGAACCAGAACAAACCTATACTAAACGGTCGAAAATTGATATTGTGTTTAGTTTATTCGCTGTTGTTATTATGGTTTTTAGTTTTTGTAGTGGGTTATAAGTAATTTATCACAAAATATTCTATAATAATCTTAAATTTCGTTTTTATATGAGCGCACGCCTATGGTAAAAGAAGAAATTGGCCCCACACTTCGTTTCGAGGTCACCGAGAACTTAGTGAATTTATGAATGAAAGTAGTGGGAGTGGACTTACTGGTTGACTTTAACTATGACAAGACAATGAAAAAAGCTGTACCTCAAAGCTCCATCATTATCCCACTACTCTACATGATGCACAGCGATAACATAAGATTTATAATAATTGTTAATGATGACATGGGGCAAAATCAGACTTGCTTTTGGTAAGCGATCTTATATGGTGAAAAATTAAACAACGTTCAAGATTTTGTGATTTTATTCAAATATCTCGATTAATTCAATAGTGTTAATACAATAGCTAACAAATATATACATGAATATAATTTTTTTTATAATACTTATGATTAAACATGGCCAACCCAACACATCTTGTTTGACAGGTAGTATTTGGTGTGGAATGAAGGCTCTAGTGGGGTGATTTATGAGCATAATTGGAAATGAGTGGCCACAAGCTACATTTACCTTGCTTTTATAAATACAGCTCTAGAAAGTTGACTATCTGGTGTATGTTTGCATTTTAATAATATCACCTCAGATACATATTTTTTAAATAATAAGATATATAACAATATTGGAGCAAATTGTGGTTCGTTTGCAAATACTAATATGGGTAGCTTTTTATTCAATCCTAGGAAAATACTTATGCTGCCTAAATGACCTGCATAAACATTTGTTGATTCTTCTATTTAGACAACATATTCATTTTTTATAAATTTTCATGATTAAGAATGGATGAAACAAAGTGATACTTTTACTTGCGTCTGCAAAAAACTAGAAACATTTCAATTCAAATACAAAAAATTAAACCACAAAGGTTGTTGAATAATGCATATAGAGCTCCAAGAAACCTTTCATCCCCAGATTAAAAATATTGCCAGCATCAAATTAGAAGGAATGTTTAAACCAGATGATACGATAGTTAGCAAGAGCTATACAATATAATACAAAACATTAACTGGTACTGTCACATTAGTTCCATTCCTACTGTGTTTTTTTGTCAGTAGCCTGATTGTAGCTGGGTGGATTTTCCTGGTACAAAAAAAATGAAAATTCCACTGTAAAAATTGTTCATTTGGTTCATATATAATTATTTGATGAGTTAAAAGGAAAATTGGTGTCAGAAAATACTCACATAATAAGCTGGCGGAGGAATATATGCCATTTGTGGTTTATTAGGGTCATAATAAGCAGACTGAGCAGCTTCAGCAGCCTTGGCATCTGAAATTAATAGAAGACTCGGTCATTCTTTTGTCTGCATTAGTTAACAAAATCATCAAAGATTTCAATCCCATCAATGGTTTTATATTATATTTAATATTTTGTAGACCATTGAATACAACTAAGCCAGTTTTTCGAGAAGATAAGCACTAGAATTATGTTTTGCTTACATTTTCAATAAGTTCAATCCATTAATCATTCGAAAGTTTTTTTATTGTTTCTAAATAATAACCTGCTAAATAATATACTCATTAAAACTATTTCCACAGCGGAAGAGATATAATATGGTTTTGAAATTATGTCAATAACAATATGGTTTGAATAATCATTTTACTAGCTCATACTAGCAAACTACTACAATGATTGTAATCGTATAATAATTGTCCTAATAGTTGGGACATTTTATTTCTCATGCCTAGTTTAGAGGAAAGGGAGGCGTAAACATGATCTCAGAGTGAACTGCTTGGTTTCACCGGCACTAACTTTAACTTATTAACTTCAGTTAAATCAAAACCTGTGTATTTGTTTGTGTTTATACATTAGTAAGTGTTATTTCATATACATTTGAACATACAGGGTGTAAGATAAGTATGTTAAAATAAAGTGACGTATTCCTGAGACATTTTTGAGAAAAAGAGTCTAATAAACATGTGTCCAAAAATGCTTGGTTTACGAGAAACAAGGTGTTGAAGTTGAGTTTTTTATTCGTGTTTTAAAAATTACTTTTGCAAAAAATAAGGTATTTGCACGAAATTTGGTAGCCGGGTTTTTTTGACGTGAGAAACCATAATTTTGTATTGATTTTCATGCAACATCTAGAGAGCGCTGCGTATGCTGTCATTATTTATTTCAAATATGACTAACTTTTTTGACAGTAAACTTTTGGCACTTTTCAAAAAAAAAACAATCGCCACACCTTTTCCAAGTAAAAAAAGTATATTTCCTCAACAACACTGGAGGATACAAATTGTTAAAATATTTCAAAACATGGTTGGTTTTTGTCATTTTTTTTTTGTTAAGTTTAGTTATTTGTGTCTCGGAAATGAATGATTTTTAAATAAACATTTTAAAGAAAAAAGTTGTTTACTTTGACGAGATCCACCACACACTTAGTTTTTGTAATGTTCTCAGCAATTTCACTTAAGAGCTGAGTAATATGTATCATTATAGAAAATTGTATAAATTGAAAGAGATAGCGCCTAAGAGCTGAGTAATATGTATCATTATAGAAAATTGTATAAATTGAAAGAGATACTAAGCGCCTAGGAACTAAGTAATATGTATCGTTATAGAAAATTATATAAATTGAAAAAGTTATAGGTTTTAGGAGTGATTGAATTTTGGGAAAGAAAGTTTTTAGCTTTCTACTACACCATCTTGATACAAAAAAAATGTGGGAATCTTCCAAAGAAAGGAAGAAAACAATCAATTTCAAAAGAAGTAACTCTATACATAGATGTGTAGATCATACAAAGAATAAACTTTCACATAAACTGGAAGAAAATATCCTCCTGAAACAGCTACATTCATATAATTATTGAATTACACGAAAGAAAAATTCTTTTGAAACAAATACTTTTATATGAACACTGAAAAGTGTTTTTTTTGTAGAATTCAGTGTTCTGATAACTTTTTAAAACTTACCAGCAGAACTTCCAAACGACTGCTGGAAACCACCTGCAGCTCCTTGTGGGCCAGAAGGACCTTGAGGATATCCAGGACCAGGGTAGCCTGGTGGACCCTGCTGACCTTGTGGTGGACCATAACCATTCTGTTGATATCCAGGAACAATTCCTGGGTATGGTGGAGGAGCATCTGTCATGAAAACACCATTAGATGGCGGTTGTTGAGGAAAAACATTGGTAGGTGGTGACCATCCATAATATCCTAAAATAAAAGTCTCATGAATAATTTAAAGCTTGGCCACAAAAACAATGTCTTACCTTGCGGAGGGGGTGCGTAAGCTGGTGGTGGAGCAGCATACCATTGTGTCTGAGGAGGTACATATGGTGGTGGAGGTTGCATTCCGCCTCTAGATGCTGAAATAAAGATTGGAAAAGGTCTAGAATATAGTGCAGTACCAGATTTTTATCAAAATCTGCTACTGCATCATATTCTATACGCTTACCTCAGAATCAATTTCAGGTAAACATTATGACGTAACAAAAACACAAAAAAATAAATTATTTTCTTAGTACATACCATCTTCTGAAATATCATCACCGATTGCTGCAAAGAATTATCACATCACTCTCCTAATGAATATTTCAGCTTCTCTGGCTCATTGTTACATCATGTCCACCTACCTTACTTTAACAAAAATTAAAAAAAAACTTACCCAAATGTGCAGCCCTCAACATAGACTGTCCGAATTCAATGGCCCCACCGTGCTTAAAGGTAATCTTGAACTTGGCTTCCCCAACCCAATTGCCATTAGGTTGTGCACGAACTTTCCCTTTAATGTAATTAGCTCCAAAAACTGGTTGTTCTATATCCACCTGAAGAGAGATTAGATCATGTTGCATACGTTTGTAACAATTATTTTATGAAGTCAACATACATCACTGAGAGTGATGAAGGGAAAACTGAAACTTTGCATTTCATCAGAAGAAGACTGGTTATTGAATATAACTCGATGTGTGGTAAGATAAATGCTTCCTTTTTTAGTGCCTTGAAATGCACTAATTTGCTGTCCAGACCATTCAATATTTACGTTTTCCGAGAACAATAATATTCTAGAATGAAAAGATTAGTCACCCAATTATCAGATTGTTTTTTTTATCTTACTGTTCTCCATTGTGGATTAGGACACCTCCATTTAAATGGGCCGTATTCAACGACATTGCAAGTGTTTATTCTGTAACACAAAATTTAGTTGAGTAGGTTTCTGAAATGAATAAAATGAATTATGAATTACAAAAATTATATTGACGTGACGTTAACAATCTAAACAGTGACGAATTTAACTTGACTTCTAGAATAGTGACAGTGACAGTAAAAACGTAACATATGTCATTCACTCAGTAGCGGGCAGCGTAGCCGCTCACACAGATTTTTCGGTAGATCTACCAAATTCACCTTTTGTCTGCTGATCTACCGATTTACGACGTAACTACACAATTTTCAATCATTGCAGAGAAAATCATTGAATTGAAATGAAGAACTCACTCCATAAAAAATATATAATGACTATTTCATTTACAGGCAAACTTAATTGACTGATATTATTGTTTCAATGTTTCCGATTATGTGGCATGTGCATGTGACAGCTAACAGATAGGCGATTGTTGAGAAATGAGATTGACACAACTGTGTACACATGTTCATAGATGATTCAAGACTTGAAATTTGTCGTTCGTAATTTATTCATATCTCTAATTTATGGACCATAATGTAAAAAAATCTTTCACCTAATATTAATTTATTGCCAAATGTAAACAACATTAAAAATTGAAGTGAAACCTTGACATTGTCATTATTATAATTTCTTTATCAAGGGTGCATTAGGTCGATAATTTTTGACAAAATATTTTATATGGGGAAGAGTTTGTCAGGGATATTGTATTCTATGGGTTTTAACTTTGGCAACGTCGATGAATAAAAATTTGAAATTTTTTAAGCAAAATTATCTACTCTTAAATGTCTTTTATTACCATGTTTCAATATAATAATCTACCTAGAAAATCTTGTAATAAGTGAAGTATGGTTGTCACCTCTTTTTGGACTCAATCATGTAAGTTGGCGTTTTGTAATTATATACTCTACTACTCTACTACATCCTATTACTTCTCAATGGTAACATTCATGACTAAGGGTTGATATTATCTTCTGAATACTCACCCATAATATATATGTGCAGGAGTTATAAGTTTTTAGTAATAACAAATGAAAAACGTGAATTCTTATGACTTGAAACTGGTGCATGAGTCAAACTAAGTCATAAGCAGTTGGCTCATTATTTTTCAGCTGAACATTCAATATATCTACTTAATGTGTACAAGTCGTGATTTTTTAGTAGTAACAAATAGAAAACATGAATTCTTGTTAGGAAAATTTTAGAGAGATACAACTTATTTCTCCTTTTTTTCATATGATAAATTAAGTTACCTAGTCTTCTGTAATAAGAGCACATCAAGAACTGAATTTATCCAACACAATCTATATTAGTATTTAGACTTAAAACTGGTGCATGATTAAACCTACAGGTCTATAACTATGTTACAATCGATCATTTTATAAAAAATCATTAGGTATAATTATATCGATTATGTATCCTTGAAATGTACTTTTGTGAATAGCAATGTTCACATTTATCGTTTTTTATGTCAAATCCCTTTATATACCTCAAAATGCAATATGTGATTTTTGTGAAAAAACATTGCCGTTGTCCGTTTTCGGACAATATTCTTTTGTCTGCAATCGAGAAAAAAATCATTGTTTTAGATACTTGATGAAATTATTATTATTCAAAACTTTAGCAGAAAAATGATTTTTAAAGAAAAACTTATTCTTACCTCTCCCCTCAACATCTGAATCAAATTTTTAGATTACTTACATATTTAACTGTTTTATTCATTTTCATTTATTTTAGTTAATCAAAAACTTGTCTTCAGAAAATAATGTGCCTACTTAATTGATTAAAATCCAATCTGTCAAATCTCCAATGAAGAACAAAGGATATGAAACAGGAAAAAACATTAAAATCTGATGTCATGGAATAATACTGACATTCCACGAAGTAGGCCCTATTTTATTGATAATTTTTTATTGAAAATGGATCATATATTTTTTAAACTCTATTTTCCGTTAACCATCTGTTGCCCTGCCTACGAAAGACAATATTCGAAAGTGGAAACTACCGTGCAACTTTTCGCAATTTTAGATGACACAATATAGGTGAAATGGTGAACTTGCATGATATTATAAAAATAATAAGTAACAACGAAACATTTTATTAGATCATTAGTTAAAGTAATGAGTTCTAACCTTTTGGTTTCAAAAGTGATGACTATTCAAATTTAATTTTGAAAATCATCCATCATACAATTGAATCTAGTTTTTTTTAATATGCTACCACAACAGGTTCAAAAAATGTTTATCAGTTTATGCAGATGAAGGGTACTCCCTGAAATATATTTATTATTATAAGTTAATCCTTTTTTCAGGGGTGGTACCTGTACTGACCACATGTATATTTTTTGCATTATTATGTTTCCTGCTTTGTTGTCTTTGGTGAGTACACTAAACTTCATGAATTCTTGGTTTGTGCACAAAGATAAATATTCAGAACATTATAAAAAAACACATGTTCATTTTATAACTTATCTTCAAATCATCCATTAAGAAGAGTTTTAAAAATGTGATGAGACACAAAGAGAATTTTGGATCAGGTTTTGATTTGTTGAAATATTTGGTGAATGTAATATTATTCAAAAGAAATCCCTGAGAGCAGACTCAGCAAACGGAGCCAACTGCATGGCATGGTTTCCTTTATAGTGATGGGCTAATTCGATTATCATAATAATTCGAGATATCGAATCGATTATCAAGATAATTCGAATTATTCTTCTTCTAATTACCTATATGATCGTTGCTTCATTCTTTAGGCGTATTTAACCATAATTTGAATTAATTTGACATCATTTGCATCGCAAAACATGTAGCTGTTTGTTGTTGCTAGTCGCTAAAAACCAACTCAACCCAACGGTTTGTTTCATGACATTGAGAATTGACAGATATATAAAAAATGTAATGGCGGTTGTTGAATATTTGAATATACATGTATAGAACGCTCTATGGTGATTGAATAATAAAGAAACAAAAGTATTCATCTTGTGTTGTTGGTATCATCAAACAGTAAAACTAACACTGTTCAAGATTGTTTTAACCAGAATCACCAATGTTTTACGTATTGTAATTTGCAAGTTAACCGCTGATAGTAGGTACTCTTCTTGTTGGTACTAATCTTATTCCAGGTGGGGCTATTTCCGACAAAAGTTATTCTCTGCTCGATGCTATTAGATCGATCAGGACAGCAAATGAGTTTTGGCGGGAATGACCTGATCTGGAATAAAATTAATGCCAACAAAATACAGCTAGTACCAAAGCCAGTTGAGGACGGTCTGTACTGATTTATCTGAAAAATTGATGGAACGAAACGTTATTCCAAAATTCAAACAGAACTTGATGAACAATAAATTCACAAACTCGAAATAAATTCCCGATATATAAAATGAAATAAAACATTGTTCTTAGTTTACAGTAAAAATCACAGGTAATAAGGTACATTCACATACTGAACAACTACTGTATAATCGATCTCAACTGAGTGATTCTACTGCGCGTTGCGAGTGATAATTCGAGTAATAATTCGATTATTCAAATAATTTGAAATTCGATTACTAATTATTCGATTATCGAAATAATTCGATTATGCCCATCTCGTCCTAGCATGTTTTACTTGTTGGCGTTCAGAGTTTGATTTTTCTCGGCATTATTCGGATCTCTTCGGCTGTCAAGATTACCTCGCTCGTGCGGTACGGTAAATAGTACTGTTGAATTATTATAATTTTACATTTTCTCCTGAATTGTGTTTAAATAACATGCTATAAAAGCCAAAGTTTATCTTCATAATATTTTCTTGATGATGAAGTAACTTATGCCTAGTTAATCTCTAATTAGTGCGTTCAGACAAACAGAAAAAACTCTTCAGATGAACTTTATAAACAATACATACGTATTTACACAAGAAAAATCAACTCACAAATCAGTAACCGAAATGTCGAATTTATGTAACTGCTTCAATGTGGATATTCGTAGATATACAGTGTCTGTTCAAAAATAAGGTCAATTTACATTTTACCAAAAAATATTTATCTATTCATTAATTTCTATTTTGTCCCCATTAAAGTAGCGCCCGTCTCGAACATATGTTCGAGACGAGTGTACAAACATAAAAAAATCGAAAATCGAATGTTCGTAGTCCGCGAAATTTGAACATTAACCTTATTTTTTGAACAGTCCACTATATTGTTAATTTTCTAGATACTAAATGAAAAAACTATACTGATGAATTCTACGTTTTTAGTTGGGGAAATAAGAATGGATTAACGGATTTTTATGAACCTGGAGAATGTAGTTCAAAAAATGGGTCCCGAGATTTTTTAAAGAATTCGGTGAATAATCTGATGCTATTTAGAAGATTTTCTACAGTTAATGAACCTAAACCTGTATTCACATCTAATAACTTACCATTTTCCAAAATGATAAATGTGTCAGATCCTGAATCTGATCTCTTGGATTCTATGGAAGAAAAGAAAAGGTTGGTGGGTATTTTGAAGTAGTACAAAATTGATTTTCTCATTTTTCAGCTTTGATAACTTAACTCTTCAATTTGATGAATGCGATGAACGTCCTGGTGCTCCAAAGGAAGATCTCCGTTCTTGCATCAGTACAGATTCTTTGAACACTTTCTATTCTGTATGTCCCAATTTTGATTTACTGTTTTTTTTTAACATTTTCATTTCAGGCATATCCTAGCTTAGTGCGAACTAATTCAAGAAACAGCTTTATAAGCGTAATATCTGATGGTGATTTAGAAACATTGATATCTTGAGCTATTTGAAGAGACTTGTTATAAAAAACTGTTAGAGACTGATTAGTATATATGAAAATAAATTATTTTTTGTACTTGTTTTAGATTGTAGGAAAACTGCTCTGAAATTTTTGAGGTTTATTAAATATATTTTTCTAAGGTTTTTAAAAATATGTACTAATCTTTATATTTCCAAGAAGTAAAAGGAAATATTCTATGTCCTGAAATAATTCGACAAATTTTGTTGCTAAAGGTTACTATTACCACAATGCCTAAAATCACAATTCAAAAGTGTCTCCTTAATCGTCACAGAACGCCGTCCTTTCATGGGTCTCTTCAATCATGGAAACTGGAAAAAATCGCAATTTTCAAGCACTTGAAATAAAATTTTCAAGACTTTCAAGCAATTTGAATCCATTTCAACTTGCCAAAAATCAGATTTTGTAATACAAGATGAAATTTGTATATTAATGGTTATTTAGTGTCTTTGATCTTCGTTCGAGTTTGAAGGCCGTCGTGCTCTGAAACTGTATCCTAACGTTTCGCCAGCACGAGTGGCTGGCTTCTTCAGAGGTCTATTCATCTTGATGGTTACTGATAATTCGTGTACTAGTTCTTTTTTCTAAAAGTTGTGGCAGTACTGGTTGTGTTTCAGAGTTACAGAATCACAGAACTCATAATTATATCTCAGATATAATTATGCTACTGCAGGATTGGTAGACTGTGGCACAGCATAGGTACCTATTATATGCTGTGACTGTGGCTCAGTCACAGAACTGTGATCTAAGTTCTCTGTTTGACTTTAGTCTTAGTTTGTTATCCGTGTTTCCGATACGAGTTGGTGCACCAAAAAAGAGAGTAGAGCCACGAAGAGAGAGACAGAGAGAGAAATTGGTTTTTTCTTGAATACACGGCGATAATGTCTGAAAACGGGGACATTGATTCGGATATTAATGAAAATGTTAGTGAAACCGAAGATTCTGTTAAAGAAGCTAAAGAAGTTGAAGAATTGGATGAAGAAGTGACCGAGCCGGATGAAAAATCCGTAACTTGGGAGGAATTGGTAAGTATCCATACTTGCAGCCCACGTGGTGATTTTGTATAAATGAAAATCAATTTAGGGTCTTGTAGATGCATTGTGCAAGGCATGTGAACAACTGAAATGGACAAATCCTTCGAAAATTCAAAAAGAAGCTATACCTTTGGCTCTGGAAGGAAAAGACATCATTGGATTAGCAGAGACAGGTTCAGGCAAGACGGCTGCATTTGCTCTGCCAATACTGCAAAGTTTGTTACAGAACCCTCAGAGATATTTTGCCCTGATTTTGACACCCACGAGAGAGTTGGCTTTTCAGATATGCGAACAGTTTGAGGCATTAGGTGAGGATTCATCCTTTCAGTAATTGTACCAAATTTTCTATATTGTCTTTAATAATTTATTCATTTATACTATGTCATTCAGATATCAGTCTCGGGAACGTTTATATTTGAATACGCTGCTAAGCAAGATCAACACTAATAATATCTTATTGCAATATATTTTACTAAAAATAGAAATTTGTTTGTAGATGAGCAGGTATTGTTGATTAAAATATGTTATTTACTTTTTTCACGTGTTGATATATATTTTATATGGTGTCATTTACATTTTAGGATCCAGTGTAGGTGTGAAATGTGCGGTTATAGTAGGAGGTATGGATATGATGTCTCAAGCTCTCATATTGGCAAAGAAGCCTCACATTCTCATAGCGACTCCGGGAAGACTGTTAGATCATTTGGAAAACACCAAAGGTTTCACTCTGAGGGCCTTGAAATATCTAGTCATGGACGAAGCAGATAGAATCCTGAATATGGATTTCGAAGTAGAAGTAGATAAGATCTTGAAAGTAATCCCAAGGGAGAGGAGAACATTTCTGTTTTCTGCCACAATGACAAAGAAAGTTAAAAAACTGCAGAGAGCATGTTTGAATGATGCTGTCAAAGTCGAGGTCTCTACTAAATATCAGACTGTGGAGAAACTACAGCAGTATTATATTTTCATTCCAGTGAAATTCAAGGTAACTAGTTATAAACTTTTAAGTTATTCATTTGATAGAAATTGGCCAAGAATATATTGAATATTTTCAATAATGATTTTTATTGATTTCAAAGACCAAAAAAGTTTTATAACAAGTCAAAAAAATTTAAAAATAAAAATAACTAATGAATGTATACATTGAAAGAGGCATATTTTTAGGCGAGATAAATTTTGGGTTTTGGCTTTTTTCTCCATCTCTATACAAGTTTGACAGAATTGAAATTTTATAGTATTCATTTGAAGATCTGCCTATGATGTATCCAAAAGTTTATTGATAATAATGAAATCATTTTCATTCGTCACTACCTCTGAGGCATATCTGATTTTTTCATATAGAAAATTTGGTTGAAATTGAGTATGTAATGACAAATTCCTATTTTCAGGATGTTTATTTGGTTCATATCCTGAACGAATTAGCGGGAAACAGTTTCATGATTTTCTGCTCCACTTGTAATAATACGATAAGGACTGCCTTGATGTTGAGGAATCTTGGCCTCACTGCTGTACCATTACACGGGCAAATGTCACAAAATAAGAGATTGGCAGCACTGACGAAATTCAAAGCAAAAAATCGTTCTATTTTGATATCTACGGATGTGGCAAGCAGGTAAGTGGACCTAGTAGTGATACGTTAGGTGAAACCACTTGAGATTAACTTGAAAAAAATAGTTATTTTCAAGTGACTGACAATATTCGAGAAGGGATTGCAAAGACTTCTGTCATGCAACATTTTTAAAAACGAAAACACAACACAAGTTTTGCTATATGATAGCCTCTTCAGGCGTGTCTATATAATAGAATAGAAATAGCATAGTATAGACACGTCTGAAAAAGCTATTGTATAGCGAAACAAGTGTTGCGTTTTTGTAACAAATGTTCATCAGTTGTAACTTTGAAATTTTTCACGATTGAAAAAAAAAAATGAAAACAACTAAATAATAACTTAGACTTCATAATGTTTCATTAAATATAACTAATGTGTATATTGCCATTGGTGTTGAGCAATACATTGTGCAAGCACAAAAATACCCATGATGCATAACAATGTGTTTGATTATATTCATGAAATAATCAATTTTATTCGTCACTACCTCTGAGATCAACTCTAATATTTCTAAGCTATATTTGTGTGAATATCAGAAAGTAAAGTTATATTTTTAATTTCCAACCAGGGGTTTAGATATTCCGCATGTGGATGTTGTCATAAATTTTGACATTCCGACTCACAGCAAGGACTACATTCATCGAGTAGGAAGGACAGCTAGGGCGGGAAGGTCAGGGAAAGCTATCACTTTTGTGACTCAGGTATGTAATATTTTGTGTTACCGCTTGTTTTTTAACTAATGCAGTAAATTGCCTATGATGCATCTCAAGAATTATTGATATAAGTAAATGAAATTATTCTCAATTTCGTCACTACCTCTGAGGCAATTTTTTTATATTTCTTTATATCACTGTATGTCTCGGTAAGTTGGAATTTTTTGTGCAGAACCAATTTTTTCCTGAAACTTATAATGAAAAATTTTTTCATATGTTTCCAACTCACCGAGACATACGGTATATATCTGAAAACCTCTTTCCTAAAGTAAGTAATGGAAGGTCCCAAGAAATTACTTTAATTACTTCAAATTTTTCATGATGGTTTCAGTATGATGTGGAATTATGTCAAAGGATCGAACAGTTGATTGGAAAACAACTTCCACTCTATAAGACAGAAGAGGATGAAGTGATGGTGTTGCAGGAAAGAGTAGCAGAATCACAGCGTCTGGCAAAAATGGTAAATTGTTATACAGTGCGGACATAAAAAATTTGTTTCCCTCTCAACATTTATGAACACTTTTGTCAAGATTAGACAAAATTAACGTGAAAATGCATCATTTTTAGTATTTTTATATGTGATGAAACAAGGGTTACCAATTTTATTTGGGGCTATATCCCAAGTTGTCCTCTTTGCCATCATGGTACATGACAGTGACTCGTACTGCTTCTCCTCTTAGGTTTCTTTATAGGCATTCGTAAAATGTTTAGACTACGTTACACAATTGCAGTCTATTCATGAGCTCATGAATATAATAAGAGATGATACCATAGCAACTACCCTGAAAACGAAATATTTAACAGCTAATTGTTCAGTAACGACTCATCCGATTAACAAAAATGAACCAGTGTTGGATAGCGAATCAAACTAGGTATCACAAGAACCTCCTTTACGTTAAAAAGTTTGCTGCACCCTATCAGTGATAAGTGTTGCAACACTATTTTGTTATTAAAAAGTGGTGAAAAGTATGCCTTTCACATCTCCCACCTTCAAACGTGAACTCCCACTCCCACCTCCACATTCTCGAGATGAAATTGTCCTCCAAATTCTTAGGACTTCACATCGATAATAAGCTTAAATTTGAGGATCATATTATCAAGTTGACTGAAAAAACTTGCATCTGGCTGCTTTGCAGTGAAGTCAGTTTTGAAGGAACTGGGTAGAACCTTCGCAAGATCTGCGTACTTTGCTTTTGTGGATGTACATATAAGATATGGTATTGCCTTCTGGGGAGTATGCAGCAAAAGCATGCTGCAGACTGTTTTTGTTTTACAGAAGCGAGCTGTCCGGTATGTGTACGGGGCAAAGTTCCAAGATCACTGCAAACCATTATTCATTGAACAACGAAGTCTGACAATAATATCTCTATTCATTATTGAAACAGTAAGGCTGATTCATAAAAATATATCTGCTCGTGATGATATAAATGAGCCACACTATAATACATGTCAAGCTAACTTGATCAGACTTCCCATGCCCACAACAAAAATGGTGAAGGACTCATTGATATACAATTGAATAAAGATGTACAACAAAATTCCCATGATAAAGTTATTCTTTGAATATTTTCAGGAAAAAATTAAGCGACATTCTGATTGATAAAGCCTATTATAGTTTAGATGAATTTTACAGTGACAACACTTTTTTAACTATAACTAAGTATGTAAACTTTCACGGCCGGAGGTAACTGTGTAAAAGCTATTTTCTGGGTTATTTGGCCGTGGTCTACTACTGTGGTAGACATTATCAAACGTGATTAGCTATCAATTGCATAGCTCAAGTTGTTCCCGTTCTGAATGCTGATATTTGACTGATTTCATATTATAGTGGGCATGGCTTGGTTTCTATTAATAGGATTACCTGACCTTGTTTGTGTACCCGTAAGGGCAGGTAGCCAGATTTTATTAATGTTCATTGCCTCGTTTTTTCTGTTGAAATATTACCTGTGTTTTGCTTTTCTTTATACTTTTGGAGAGCAATTTCGAGTTTTATCATGTATTACTCTTCTAATGAGATAATGTGAGTACCTTCTTTGTTTGAGCATGTATGGCTACAGCTCGAGCATCCGAATTGACAATTTATCTTGTGTTGAGAGAGAGACGGGTATCGACACGTGTTTTCGTGGTTACAATGTAAACCGACCCGCAGCTGCAAGGAATCAGATATACGCCAGGTTCTCTGGGGTCTTTAGCTGACCTTAGACTTTGTCTGATAGTTTTTGTTGCCCTAAATATTGGTTTTACGTCGTATTTCTCTAATACAGTAACAAAAACATAGTAACATAAATGTTACAGTCCGCATTGGGAGAATCTTAGAGAAACATGTCATGAAACCAATATTTAAGCCAACAAAAACTATCAGACAAAGTCTAGGGACCCCACATAACCTTTAGCAACAGCCGGGGTATGCCGGATTCCTTGTTACTGCGGGTGTCTATATTAGAATCATGAAAAGAAATGTAGATACCCAGAGGTGTAGGTGCTTCTGAACACAAGAGGCATTGTTGACACAGACAAATGGACAACGCAGCTGTAGCCGAACATGGTCTCAAAAAAAGGCACTCACATTATCTCATTGTTAGATACAGTAATAATCGATAAAACTCGAAACTACTATCCATCAATCAAATATGCTTCAATGTCAGAAGAAACAGTTCTTATCGACAAAGTCATTGTATTGGTAAAACAAGTTGAAATGTTAAAAACAATAAAATGGTACTGATACAGGCTTAATAATAATAAAATGTACAAGCCAAGTGCTGGCTAGTATTAAAATCGATCCTAATAA